TCAACTACACTTGGCTATGGACGATTGCAAGTGCACAAATCGCATCGTTGTTTTTCTGCGTAATTTTTCGTACTTGAGTTTCTTTGCGATCACTTCTTTCGTTCCACGTGTGAAATAAAATGGGCTCTATGCGTTCTTGTGAATATAAAACTACCACACCTGATGTATTTGCCTGTGAAAGCATTTAAGTGTACTATGGTGATACTAACCCAGAAGCTTCACCATCCTGAATCACTCGCCAAAGTCTTGATCTCGCTGCTTGTTCTGCTTCTAGCACTAATACAGAAATTTGCGTAGCCCTGAACTTGAAAAAAAAAACATTTTCTGTCAAAAACAGTAAGGAGATGCAGACTTGAAAACAGTCGAGTGTCGATTATCTTTTCGTAACAGAATACAGCTTAGATAGCAAAACAGTTGGTCAACAAACCACCTCTGTCCGGAAAACGGGTCATTCCAGACCAGTAAACACAAATTCCCTCTGGTCTCACATGGTCATTGTCCGAGCCGTGCACACATCTTTGCCGATTTCAAAAACGCCCGATCAATTCATTTTCAGTTAGTACTGTCCGTTCAACTTTGTATCAAGAAAATCACGTGATCCCTGCAGGCCTCAGTGTTTGTGTTCACATGTGTCCAATTCACCGCTCTCCCACAGACGTCCTAATCTCAATGCGCTTATTTGTGTTTTTCCCATTTTTTGCTTTAATTGTTTACGTTTGTCCCCTTCTCTACAAGTTCTAATGGGATGTCCCTTTATTTTTATGTCTTGGATCTATGTCGATCGTAATTTCTGTATCATGGGATACATTGCTTTTCTGTTAGGCAATGATAGCGAGATCGGTGTAGGATAGTTTAGGTCATGACATACTTCGCGGTAGCCCACACCGACGAAGGGGAAGGGAACTGTGACCCAGAAGGCAGTGGAGTGTAGACCCAACGCGGGAGCACGAACGAAGCAACCGTGTAGGAGCTTCTGAAGACCTGCTACGCAAAGCCTTTGAATTTCTGTTCAGCGTATTGTTCGCTGGTGCGTTGATTGTCGTCCCGCTGTTCGCGATTGGCCCTTAGTCTGATGCACCCAATGAGATAAGCGGAACGTAAACAGCACCTTATTGGCTGTATGCTGCCCATCTCCGTTGCGGGTGATAACTGTCCGATGAAATGCGAAGACCTCCCACCTTCGGGAGGATACCCCAGGTACCTCTCGCCTAGCGGGGTTTTTGACCGGTAAACTGCTCCTCTCTGTGTTTGTTCGCTGAAGTGACATCTCCAGGGGCGAGAGTGGATAGTCCGAGGCCTCATTAGGTACCTCATCTGCTAGCCTTGTGAGACTGTCTGACCCCTACCCTTTGACCTTGCAGACATGATTGAATCCGCGGCTGTGCAAACCACGCTGTGTAGCTCTCAGAGTCATGGAGGCACACAAGTCATCATACCACTTCAAGATGCAGTCTCGTCGAGAGGGATGATCAAACTCACGCCTGTCATGAGAGTGTGAAAACCCTGACCTTGAAACTTGGTCACATAGACCGCATTAGGCTTCCTGGATGGGGACACTGAAACACTGAGTGATATGGCTGAGTGTCGCAAACAGTATCGCTCGTGTATCTTCTCATTGTCCCTGCAACCTTAGTCCATGTGAACTCCCTATCTTCTCTTTGCCTCTGCTCTCAACATTCCAATCTTCATTCTGCTCTTTTTGTCCAAATGGGCAGTCATGAGACAGCAACCAAAACCGGCGCACGAAAGTGCATGGTTGTAAAATGGAAACCGAAACCAACAGCCATGTTCAAACTGTATGTTTGCAATCACTCTAGGCATTGTTAACTTTCGATTCTTAGTCGTTTCCGGCTGTCTTCTAGCATGTGTATTTGTCAGCTTTTGTTGATAACCTTATCGACAAGCGATCAGAGTTACCTAGTCTGGTTTTTCCACGTCATTCATTATGGGAATTCACGCAGATCAGATGTTTAGTTACCATCAGTCACCTGTTTGCATGTGTCTTGATTTTCATGACGTTACCTTCCGTTCACCTTTCCTCCGCCTGAGTATTTCATGTTAAATTACACTTGGTAGGTGACTAGAAAGCCCGATAGAGAAAGAATCAGATAGATCTACATCGGTTTATTTTTTGGTATCACTCCGGTTCCTGGGAGACGTAGTGTAGTTTGGTTGATCCTTGGCACGTTCGTATTTTTTTCCCGTTGGAATCGTATTCATGTTAGTTTTTGCGTTCCTAATCCAAGTACTGCCCTATTTCTTCCAAAGTTGTGATAAAAAATGAAACACGCATTTCATCGTGATTTGTGAATGTTATTCGAAGGGCCGAGTCACCGGTAGGATGCGAGACTAAAACTTATATCATAAGAAAGGATCGATCTGACCGACAGCAAGAGATGATGATTTCTATATAGATGTCTTGCATTACGCATGGTTGACTCAAATAAAGACTGGCTGTACACACAATGAATGGTCCACTTACGATGCAGACTATAGTGTTTGACGAATAAGATCCAAAAATATCAAAATGCCTTCAGGATCGAATAAATAATCTCATCAATCTAAATTAATAGGTGTAAGTCAGGACAGTAATCTAACCACCAGCTTTCTGTCAACGAATCGGTTACTACCATTTGGCTATGATGGAAATCATTTAATCAATCATTATTTCACACATCCGTTATAAGATGAGTAGACCATGACCTGGTCAAGCGGTGTGAGAACCTTGATCAGGGGGTATAATCAAGTGGGTCACGTTAGGCTATATATA